GGCTGAGATATGGGAAGTAGACATCTCAACCAGTGTCTTAAACACTAGAACAAATACTTGCTCCTTGAAGACACTTTTATTTAAGTTTGTGGGAAAATGGTATTGCAAACTAAGATTATTAGTGCCAGCATTGTGCTGTAGTAAATACAGGGACACCTGCATTCCACAGGGATGCCAGTTCAAGGCCCAGCTGATCCACTTGCAATCCAGCTCCCTGGGAATGGCTTGGAAATAGTAGTAGAAGCTGGCCCAGCTGCTACCAAAGTGGGAGAACCAGAAGCTGCTAGATCTTGGCTTCGGCCTGATTCAATCCTAGTCATTCTGGCGATTTAGGGAGTAAATCAGGGGATGAAAGAGTTCTCTCTGTCTCTCCCTCAGTCTGTATAACTCTGACTGCCAAATAAATAAATAAATCTTTTAAAGATTATTGTAGTGGGGGCCCAGCAGGGTAGCTTAGTGGCTAAAGTCCTTGCCTTGCGTGGGCCAGGATCCCATATGGGGCGCTGGTTTGTGTCTTGATGTTCCACTTCCCTTCCAGCTCCCTGCTTGTGGCCTGGGAAAGGTTTGGAGGATGGCCCAAGGCCTTGGGACCCTGCAACTGCATGGGAGACCTGGCAAATCCTGGCTTTGGATCGGCTCAGCTGCAGCTGTTGTGGCTACCTGGGGAGTGAACCAGTTAGATGAAGGATCTTTCTCTATATATCTCCTTCTTTCTATATATCTGCCTTTCTAATAACAGTAAATAAATCTTTAATTTAAAAAGGTTCATGAAATATGCATATTTTGAAAAAGCTGCATAATGTTTATATAATTTTTTAACCTTCAAATAAATATAGTTTTAATTCCATTCTTTCCCATAAACTTTTCCAAGTACCTTCATATAATTTGCCCGTATTTAAGATTATTTTACTTGTAGGAAGGAGTTAAATTGTGTCTTCCACAGCTTGAGCCCTGTGCCTGAATAGATGCTTAGTAAGCATTTGATTTATAAGTAAATATATAAGCAACATTTAAAGCCATTTAGAAATAAGGTTTTTAGCTTAAAATACTAAAATTTTATGGATTTATGGGTAAAAGGTCTTTTAAGGTGATACTGTTCTCATATTTGATTCATTACTTGTGGTGGCCTATAAGTTAGAGGTTGCAACATACACATTTGTGTTTAGATATAAACAACTTTAAATTCTGGTGGTATTGATGACTAGCTTTGTGACCTTGGGTAGCTTATTTAACCTCTCTGAGCCTCAAAAGAAATCTAATCTTGGTGTGGGTGTTTAGCTTAGTGTTGAAGAAACTTGTGGTTCACATTTTAGCACCTGGGTTCAATTCCTGACTCCAGCTTCCCGCCAGTGCAGACCCTGGGAGGTCGCATGGTGGCTCAATTATTTGTATTCTTGCCACTAGTATGCAAGACCTAAATTGTAGTCCCAGCTCCCAGCTTTGGCCCCAGCCCAGGCTGGTATCTGCATCTTTGAGGAAGTGAACTCTATCATCTGTTTTCTACTTGTCTCTGTTTTTCCAAGTGAAAATTTTAAAATTTGTCCTCAGTTGTAACATGGGGCTAATCATAGTACCTGCTCCACAGACCTGTTGGGAGATGTCCTTGAAATCATGTACTTAGAACACTGAGCACAGATGAGAACACAGAAGCTCAGGGCATTGTGGGTAACTAATAGTCACCTGTTCTGTGCCACGCATGTGTTGTTTCCTGGAGAAATGAAAGTGGAAAAGGACTCATAACTCAGTGGAGTTGAGAGCTTCCTAGGTGAGTAAGAAGATGGCCATGTACAGTGTGCTATGGGAGTGTAGATGAGGGAACAGTTACCTCTGTATGAATAAGCAAGGAAGACCGCTGCACGGCAGTGGTAACTGAGCACATTCAATGGCTCATAAACCCCAGGAGTGTTGCTTAGCTGCCAGCTGCGTCATGCAGCACCTTATGTGTCCCATTCTCCCACCTGCATCTGCATGTTGCCAACATGGCCTTGGTGACAGTCCACTGAATTTGTGTGTGACGATTTCTCGACTGGATGATTTAGAAAATTTTATTTGTTTTTTTTAAATTTTAATCATCTTAGTTTATTAGGGTACAAAGGGTCAAGGGCTACAGGGTGAAAGTGGGTAATATCATTGTTTCCACACTAATATAATCATTTTTTCCTGTATCTGGGGTTAGAGAAAATTTTATTTGTTCATTTATTTTATTTGCAAAGGCAGAAAGACAGAGAGCTCCCCTCTTCTGGTTTGCTCTCTCAGTGCCTACAATAACCAACTTTGGGCCAGGCCAAAGCCAGGAGCCTAAAACTCCATGCAGGTCTCCCACATGGATGGAAGGGACCCAAGTACTTGAGCCTTTCAGGATCTACATAAGTGGGAAGCTGATCTCAGGAGCAGATCCATAACTGAAACCCAGGTACTCTGAAGTGAGATGTGGGCATCCCAACCAGTATCTTATACTCTGTGCCAAATACCCTCTTGCTACCCTTTTCCTATCATCAACTGACTCTTCGAAGCAAACAGTGTGCTATGGCTAGAGTATGGTTTGTCCCCACCAAAACTCTTGTATTTCCCAGAGCAACAGTCAGAGGTGGCAGAACCTTACAGAAAGAATGAGGCCGTGGGTGCTCATGAGAGTGAGTTGTTTATCGAAAGTGCAAGTTGTTGCAAAACAGATCTAGTTCTCTTGTGTACATACTTCTCCTCCCCTTGGGCCTGCTTGCTCTTCTGCTGTCTGCCACGCTTTGCAGTTGGATAAGGCTGTCATTGGAAGCCTCACTGACTCTGGTGCCATGCTCCTGGACTTCTAGAACTGTGAGCTAAGCAAACCTATTTACTATACACATCACCCAGTGCTGGTGTTTTGTTACAAGCACAGAAAGCAGACCAGGGAGAGGTGTGTCTGTGCTTACGCACAGTGGACCTGCCATGCAGCAGTTTCTCAGTAGCATTTGAGAAATGAATGCATGTTTCTGATTTCTGGCCCCACCACATGCTGGGTGTGGGATCCTGAGTGAGCCGATTAATCCTCAGTGCTTCTGTCTATGAGATGGGTAGCACATCTCATAGGATGTTTGTGAGGACTAAGTGATTTGTTGGCCAGCATTGCAGATAACAGGTGCTCACTGAGCAGTGGTGACTGACAGCACCATTCAGCTCTGATTGACTGACGTGCTGCTGAGTCCAGGGGACAGTGACAGACTGTGGTGGGTCCCAGCCCAAGAAGCTCTGTGCTATCTGCCAGCAGAGGAGATATTTCAAAACTCTTTCCCAATATCTGGGTGTGAGCTGTCAACTGATAAGAAGTTTCTATGTGATGAGTGAAGATGCGATCAGAAAGAAGGTGGCACCTGGGATTGTTCCCTTCCAACTACCCCTGGTGACTCAGGGACAGGGCTTGAGATGGTAGCACTGACTCACAGGTGGTCTGCAGATGCCTGCCTTCCTCCCCTCTGGCCTCCTTGGTATCATTATAAAACAAAACATGTGCTGAGTATCAGTCATCAGGGGGGAAAGAGCCACATAGGAGACTCCCACTGTGGGTGGGAGAAGAGAAGACAGCATCTGGATACAGAAACTCAGAAATGCTTAGAGGCCACAGGTGATGAGCTAAAAGGATGGACTTCCCAGGTTGAAGATTTTGAAGAGGGAAACTTAAAAGTTAGTTGTTTTCACATTGTTAAGCAGACTGGGTAAGGGGTATGCCTGGCTTCCAGGCTGGGGCCTTGTAGGAAGTCACTCACTGATTTCCCACCTTGCCCCCTTCACACCTGTCTAGTGAATGCTGCCTGAGCTCAGGACTGTTGGGTCAGTAAGTAGCTGAGTCTCATTCATCTTGGCAGGGAGGAGTGAGACCATCTTATTGAAGTCTTGTTGGCAGGGCTAATACCAAACAACATCCCTGCTGCTGAAACTCTGGATCAGTTCCCATGATCCCTTGGTCCCTTGGGTGAGTCAGCTACAGCCTTTGACATCTCTGTGATGAGGTGGCCAACAGTGTAGAGGACAATGTCCCAGGGCCAGGGAGCTTGTGCCCAAGTCTGGGCAAATTCCAGCAGCAGTGACACAGAGGCTTGGGGCAGGCATGGTGTTCACCCAAGGTGGCCCTTTGTCATCTCTCTGGAGCGTGCTGCCCAGGACCCATTCCTAAAACCCAAAAGCTGCCCAACTCCTCTGAGTGTCACCAGTTTGGAGGGATGGTGGACATAGCCCTGGACACAGTTTTGCTGGTGAACTTAAATGACCAGTTGAGGCCTGCCAGGCAGTGATCCCACAAATTTCTACTGTTGATGTGGGCTGGGGGACAGAGGAGCAAGTCAAGGACTCTGGGTGGCAGGAAGGCCTGGCTACCAGAAAGCTCAGGGCCCCAGTCTAGCTTCATCCATCACTGCACAGTGGGATATGCACACTGCTAATGCATGCCTTGGGGGAAGAAGCAGGTGATGGCCCAAGTCCTTGGGTCCTTGCCCTTAGCAGTGGAGGACTGAGAGTTCCTTGACTGTGGTTTTGTTTTGGGGGAGAGGGGAAGGGAGTGAAAGAAGGGGTTGGGGTAGTGAAAAAAACCTTTCAAAAGAAAAATGAAAAACAGGATAACTGATGGGGTTGTCTGCGAATCTGTCTTTATCCCTTTCTTAAATACAACGCATATACAACAGGCACACAGTGGGTCCGCACTCAACGAAGCAGCAACACAAAATCTCTGGGGGCATTGGGCCCAGCATGGGGACACTGCTGCTCCTCAGGCCTCCAGGCTCTTCCCCAACCAAGGCTCGCCTCCCAGCGAGTTTTTCAGGGGCAGGGTGATTCGTCCCTGCCCTTCTGGAACACAGTAGGCCTGGCTCAGACACATGTTGCTGGGTCAGTTTGGGCAGGATTCTAACTCTATAAGGAGGTTCAGTGCTCTCCGCAGCAGCCTCTGTGGCCGCGGAAGGAATCCGCCGGCGGGCGGGGCGGGGCCGGTTTTTCTATCGGAGGACGTGGTGCCAGCGTGCTACGCCTTTAAGAGTCGAGCTCAGCCGAGCGCCGGCTGCTGAGCGCGGAGTGGGTACCTGCCTGGTGGCCAAGCGAGGAGCCTGGGATCCAGGAGGCCGTGGTCAGTCAGGTGAGCGGCTGCGGGGCGGCATGGGGGATGCACGCCTAGGAGGAAGACTTGGGGACGCCCCGCTAGCCCCGTGACCTCCTCTCCCTCCCTTACTTCCCGGATCTGGGTTGACAGTCTTCATGATCCGGGAGTCACGGTGAGGACCAACCGGGACCTGCACTCTCCTTCGACTCCACCTCTCCACCCTGCACGCCCGCACCTGCCCCTGGGCACCCTTCCCAGCACGCCTGCCTGGTTGGGGGCTCTGCATTCCTGGAGAAGGGTTGCTTCTTGCCCTCCCCCCCCCCCCATCATCTCTCCCTTGTCCCCTTAGGAGTCTGCACTTCTCCACTAAGAGCTCTCTCTGCTGATAGCTTTCCCCTTTCAGCGTTTCAGGGCGCCTTATCCCAGCCAGTCCCAGTCCGGTCCCCTCACTCTTGCACCCTCTCCTCCTCTTAACGCCACCCGCCTTGGAATTCTGCTGCAGCAGCTGAGACTGCCTGTTGTTCCCCCTACCTCACCCCCACTCCATGCCAGACAAACGCGGGCCTCCTTCCCCATTATCTTCGCCCACAACCGGGGCTTCCCAGCTGCCTGGGAAATGCAGGTTGTGTAATGCCAGCTGCAGGGCAGAGGGCGTGCAAGATTTGCACCCCTGAATCTGCGGGGGAGGGGGGGCGGGGGAGGCAAGTCGACAGAGGGCAGCTGAAGAGAGGAAGAGAGGTGTGTGTGTGGGGGGGGAGGTGACATCAACCATGATGTCCCCTGTGCTTTGAACTCTTTGGAGGCCCCAAGAGCCTGGTGGTTAAGAAGAGGCAACAGAGGAAGGGCCTCCCCCAGCTGGGACCTAAAGGCCAGTATCTTTCTCACCCCACTCACTTGCTTAGAAATCTCTAGTGTCTGGCCCCATCTGGCTGGAGGTTTAAAATAGTTGATAATTAGTAGCAGAGGCAGAAGGAGCAAGTACCAGGTACCACACCCTGACCTAATCCCCTTCAGAAGGCTGCCTGCCTCACTCCCTGTTGCATCCCCAGGAAGTAGGGGTACACCTGTGCCCATTTCTCAGAGGAGGAGTGTGAGGCTACCACAGGGGGTTCCTTCCCCAGGCAAAGGTGAGTCCAACCTCACTCCAAACCACCAGACCAAATTCAAACCAACAACATTGTTACAATGTAGAACATCAGAAATAAGAATAACCTGAGATCCTGGCACTAACTTGGTTTTGTAGCATTAAAGTCCTTGGAACCCCCAAGGGGTTCTCAGGAGAGGAGGACCCAAGAGGAGAAGGGACTTAGGCCTGAGAGGAGAAGGGACTTGCTGGAGAGCAAACCCCTGGTGCTGATGTGTGAGATGGGTCCTGGTTACCTAGAGACTTGGGGGTGCCCTGTGCTGCCCTGGTATGTTAGTGTTAGGGTAGGCCCCTAGAGACCTTCTCTTCCCTCAGCAACCTGACCACTTCTGCTGACTCTCTCCCCCTTCCCTTTGCTGTGGCCCAAGTTGGCAAATCCAAGGCTTCTCACTGCTGCTTAGGCCATTTCTTCTTCTGGAACTTTTTTCTGAACCTCTAAATCTTACCTTCCTCTAAGGTCCTGCTGAGCTGTTGCTTCCAGGACCAGTCCCCTGCTTTCCCCCCTGCTCAAAGCTTTTCCTACTTTCCATGCCTATGATAGCGTTTGGAAGGTTCTGCTACGTGCATCTGTCTTGTCCTCATGGGTGCAGTTGTATTGATGGGGCCAAAAGTGTTCCCCATTGCAGTGAGAGCAGAAGAGAGCAAGCTAGAGAGTCATGGGGGGTTAGTGTGTTTTCTGCAATAAGCATAGGCCCCAGATTTCTGAGCCATGCAAACCTCAAACTCCTTCTTGAGCCTGGCTGTGGGGAGTAGGACTCCACCTGGTACCTGGATGTTTGTTTTCTTCATAATCCCAAAGATTCCCACTGGAAACTCAGATGTGGGTCCAGATCTCCTCCTTGTTGCTGGCTCTGTGTGCAGCCTTTGGCAGGTGACCTAAACTCCCAGTGATGGTGCCTGCTTCAACACGCAGTATACACCAACAACATTTAAGAAGACTGAGCAACAGCCAGCTGCCAGACTGCCATGTTCAATAAAGGCGGAAATACTGAGTCATTAGTAGGTGACTCCTATTGACTCTGCCTAGAGGTGGGCAAGGGGGCCCAGCAGAGTCAGCATTCTTTGGTGCCCAGAAGAGCTCATGAGACATTCTTCAACTCTGTCCTTGGCAGTAAGAGGCAGAACTGATCTTCCATAGTTTTCTTGCTACCAAAGTGTACAAATTTTTGAATTTTGTGAGAATCCATGCACATAGAATGAATGTGGGGAAAACAGTTTGTACAGTTGTCAGTGACTAAGAAGTTTGATGACGTGAAAATGTGCTCATCCTTAGGGGTGGCCTTGTTTTATAGTGTGTGTGGGTTCGGGCCTGTCCTAGGGGTGAGAAATTAGTGTCTTTGATTAGCTTTGGGTTTGGAGGAAAGAAAGGCCAGGGTGAGTGGAAATCAATTTTAATATTTTTTAAAGTTTCTTCTCTGATTCCTGGCTGCTTTGGTGACTCTATCAGTTATTCTAATGATGAATGTTCAAAAAATGGGGGCAGAGATGGATACCCTCAAATGCTCTAAGTGTTTGTAGTATTCCAGGAAGTCGGCTCTACAAGATGAAAATTTGATGTATTAAAATTTCTCCTACTGTGAATCTTACTTGAAATAAAGTGAGATCCTGTTTGATAATTTCAAGATGGTTGAGTTTAGATATTTGAAGATATAAATTTTTATTAACTTCACTCTTCTAGGGTCTTAAGGAGGTCATGGGATCTCATTTCTGTTACTGTGGGGATAAGAACAGTTTTATGCTTCCCAGTGTGGCGACCTTAGCACATGTGGCTGTCTAAATTCAAACTAATTAAAATCACATCAAATTCAAACCTTATTTCTTTGCATTTCAAGTGCTCCAGCCACCTGTGGGCAGTGGCTTGGCTGCTGTGGTGTCAGAGCACATAGAGCGTGTCTTCAGCCAGCAAGTTCTATTGGCAGCAGTGTGTGGATCAGTAATGCCATGGGAGGCCCCTGTGAGCGGGTTAACTTCCATTCTTTCCGGTCACATGCCAGCCAAGGAAAGGGTATGTAGCGGATGCCTCATTGTCAAGAAGAGGCAGGTTAATAAATCTCCTTTGGCACATTGTGGCTGCCTCATTGGCTTTGCTACTTGCTGAGTTGGAAGATGGGAGGGCGTGGAATGAAAAGACAGGACTCAGGGAACACTTCACCACCCTCACCTTGTGTTAGGACCACCTAGGGAATTGAGAAAGATGTGCATGTTGACTCTCTTCTAGATCTTTGGTATTGGTGATTTGTTTTCTGGAAAGCTCCCTAGGGTCTTCTCACAGGAAGCCAGAAGGCAGAGAAACTGGCCTGCAGACGTTGGGCCAAACAAAATTCCCCAAGACCTGGAACACAGTGCCTCAAGGCAGACTCAGTGAGTGGCAGACAGTGTTCCTCCCAGATTCACTGAGTTAGTAAGACAACAGTTGGGCCCAGTGGGCTCACATAGAAGGATACTGCATGCTGTCTGCTGTGCACACTAAAGGGGCTACAATGGTGGGAGACAGAATGCAGTGCACCAAGACCAGGGCACAGGCAGGCAGTCTAATGATGCCCAGGGCAATCAGCACAAGGACTGTATGATATTGCCCTGGGCTTCCCCTTGCCCTAGGGCTGGGAAACCTGCCCCAGGATTGAGAAACCTACTCCAGACCCAAGGATATTAAAGCTTTTTCTGACCTTTGACCTAATTACCTTTTCAGGGTAGGTGCTCTCCTATACCAGAAACCCTTGTAGGTTGGCCCAGACTTCTGATGGCAGAGGACATGGTGAGCATGTTGAGGGTTTGTCATGGGCTTGGTGGCGCTCACCAGTGCTGTGCCAAGGATACTACTGATTCAGGAAAGCATGTGGGAGGTGTGGGCTGAGGCCCTTCTTTTGCTGCAGCTCAGGATCCTCTTTTAATGAAGCCGTTACCCAAAGAAACAGTGACTTTGACCCACAGGTCATTTTCCAGAAGCTGTGACCACCTAGCATGGCCTCATGGTACATGATAGACCCAACACAGGATTCTGACTTTATGTGCGATGAAATCTGGGGGCAGAAAATGTGAAGATTGCAACGTAGACCTTGCCCAGTGACAACTCAAGCCTTGGAAATGCCCCCGACCCCACTGCCAAGCCAGGCAGTATGGGATAATGTGCACACCATCTGGGAGGGCAGGCAAGGTCTTCCCAGCCATTCAGTCCAAACACTGCAAATCTGCCTGCCTCTTCTCTAAATACCACACTAGCATCCTCTCAGTCTGTCCCACCTTGAGACCCTCAAGCTTAAGTGACTTGCTGAGTTCCCATGGCTGCTAAGTGTCTGAGTATAGATTTGAGCCTGGGTTCCTAATGTGCCACGGTGAACCCTCAGAGGTGAATTTCCAGAGAGGGGCAATGCCTTCCTATTAATAATAATAATAGTAATAATAATAATAATAATAATGGTTTATAAGCATATTTGAAAGGCAGGGGGAAAGACAGAGAGAGAGAATACTACTATTCACTGGTCACTCCCCAGATACCTGCAATGACCAAAGCTGGGCCAGGCTGAAACCAGAAGCTGGGAACCCAGTCCAGGTCCCCATGTGAGTGACTGGCACCCAGTTAGTTGAATGTAGTTACTACAGCCTCCAGGATTTACATCAACAAAAAGCTAGAGTCAAGGGCTGGTGCTAGGAATTGAACCCGGGTGCTCCAACATGGGACGTGATGGCATCTTAACTGACATTTTTTAAAGCTTTATTTATTATTTTTTATCGGAAAGGCAGATATACAAAGAGAAGGACAGAGAGAACTTCCATCCTCTAGTTCATTCCCTAAGTGGCCGCAATGGCCAGAGTGAGCCAATCCGAAGCCAGGAGCCAGGACCTTCTTCCAGGTCTCCCACACCAGTGCAAGGTCCCAAGGCTTTGGGCCATC